CCCCAAAACCCCAAAACCCCAAAACCCCAGAATTCTAGAATAAATCGAATTTGATAAATTTGATAGAATTAATAAATCTAATCACAAATGGAACAAATTTCGAAATTCTATTAATTAAAGATTTGAGAATAGTCACGCTTTCATCTACTTTATATCGAATCATCTTACTATTAAATTATCAAGTCTCTTATCCGCTTTAAATGGCAAATACCAAATTTAAGCTTATCATCTTTACTCAAAATACTAGACAATGTCTAATCTTTGTTTGAATCATAAATTGACAAGAAGTGATCAAGTAATATTTAGAAGGCATGTAAACCATATAACCTGATCAAATTTTACTCACAATATGTATATAAGCCATTACTGATTATTTTTAGAGTAAATCTATCATATTAGCATCTATGATCTACCTTAGTTTTTTTTGAAAAAAATAATCCACTAAGAAAGAGTATCATATCATTTTTTATTTTTGCTCGTAACACAATGTCTTGACTTTCAATGACTTAAAGATTCAATGTATCAATAAAAGAACTTAGACATTGATCTAAAAACTAAATATTATGATTTTTCTTTTGTTTCATATAATTTGATTGCCTCTAAAATCATTTAAGGTAGTAAAGTCTAATTTTCCTCAATGTTGATTTAAGTAAGACATCAAGTCTTCTATCGCCAATAATAGTTTGAATATCATTCTTCATTGTCTCTAATATTCGCTTCTACGATTTATTGAGTGAAAAATATGTTTTATTCTATGTGTCATCACCATTTTCAAATATAAAGTGATCTAATGTATGGTGAGTTTTTTGAATTTCACTTTCCAAAGTTTTATAATTTGAGAAATCATAATTAGAATTTTCTGCATTTGCCAAGGTTATGTTTATTTCATTTTCACAATTAAATTCAATCTATTATTTGGTTATGTAGATCTCTTCGTTCTCTTTCTATCAAATGAGCTAATTTTTATCAATGTTTTCTTAAACTTATTTTTTGACCACATAGTCAGAAAATGCTTAACTTTTGTGATCAAAATTAGTATAGGAACCTAAATGCTACTCTGTTAAAGGTTAAACATTATCAGATTTTGTGTTATTATTATTCTGCTAAATTTTAATGAATTATTATGTCTCATTTCTCTCCTTCTCTTGAGAAAGTAAATTACTTGATCTTAAAAATTATGGCGGTGAATGGTCACCCTCAAACATCAATTCATCATCACTGAGTTTAAAAATGTAACTATCTTCATTAAAGTTAGTAGTCTATGAAATATCTTGATATGAGATCTCTTCTAAACGTTAAATCAGTATACTCATTATTTTTAAATATTTAATTATTGATCTTTGAATCAGTTTAGTCATATATTAATAGGAAGTGCCGTTCTATATTTTTTGATAGAGCACTTCTTACCAGTTACTTTTGTATTAAAAATTTTCCATAAATAGAGTAAAATAAATAAATTATCAAAGTTTGTTCTAATACATACTAATTCGAAATCCTAATTATTTGCGTATTTATTAGATTTTAATTTCTTTTATCATTATCAATTTATAGTCGCATTTCATCTTTATGGGGTTTTGGGGTTTTGGGGTTTTGGGG